TCGGGATTTTTTCGGTCATTCAGTAAAATCACAATTTTAATCGCTTCTAAACAGTGAATCTCAAACGAAAATCTGAATTAACACAATGTATAATAATGTATAAAAACAAATTCATATTTGATATTTTTAATCGATCTTTCACAAAAATTAGAAACACAAACCTTACACAAAGAGCATCAAGATTTCTATCATATTCACTTAAAATGAAAATAGAGAAATCGAAATACTCACAATGTGTCAAAATAAAAACAGAAAATCAAATCAACAATATCAAGAATCAAGAGTATACCAAAGGATGCTCAAAACAAGTTTTAAGCTAATACCACAATAGCTTTCAAATTTTCATATAATGTAGTTAGGGTTTTTCAACTTTTGGTTCCAAGAAGTTCGAATTAATTACTTCAAAACATGCAATCTTGTAGAATCATTAACAACACTTCAAATCACCCAAACTTGACTAAGAAATCGATCAAGAAACTCGTCAACATTTGTACATTTTGTTTAGAATTCAAGAAGGTGAAATTGTTGATAGAATTTTGGGGATTTTGGAAGAAGATGATTAAACACTCTCACACACTCATGAATCTTACAAGCAATAAGGCTTCAATGATTTTAATCTCACTAAGATAGCTTTTGGCTCTTAAAGAATTTTGAAAAATGATAAGAGAGGGAATTTTGAAGAATGAGAAATGTATTTTGAAGTTCTAAAAATAGAAAACACTAAAAAAGTTCTTTTAAATCATTTTTCGTTACAGCTCGTCATTTTTCTCGAACGATCGATTACTTGAGCGAGCTGATCACCCATCTAGCCATTTTGCTCGAACAAGTACGAGCATCTACGCGAGTTCAATTTGTCACCTCGCCATTTTTCTCAGATGTTCGAGTATCTGAGCGAGTTACAGCAGAATTTCACAAAAATTCACAATTTTCAACATTTTAAATCATACTTTTCTAAAACAAATTCAATGCTTGTACCTCAATATAAACACTCAAAATATCATGACTTGAACTTCACATTAACATAAAATGCAATCAAGTTATCAAAATTAAATGCAAAAATAAATTGATAAATGAAATGCAATGGAGCTTGAAATCATGTTTAGTGATATATCTCATGTGTTACAAAGAATCTAAATATTGTCTAACCGAAAACTTTAGCATCTTCAAATTGAGTTCTTCATGCTTTGACATCATCAAAACCATTTAAGCATAATCTTCTAGAATATAGGAGGTCTTTCATTGCTCGTGTACGCCTGGCCTGATCTGTGTATTTTGGTTATTGGATTCATACTTAGACTTGTATAAAAATTTATTTAATAAAAATGCCTCAGACGTCAATTCAAAAGCCTGGTGAGGTTGGCCAACTAACTCATTTTTTTATTTTTTATTTTTTCTACTAACCTAATTTTCACTCCCATTGTCGCGCCCAACCCACTCAAGCTATCGATCAACAGTGTTTGATTTACAAGGGTCGGATCCTTAAGGACAATCAAACCCTCCAAAGCTACGATATACACACAATCTTACTATTATTGATATATTTTTGCGTAATATTAACTCTGATTTGTTTGCAGAGGCGATTTAGCACTTTTTGATTCATGTTTTGCTAGCACATGATCTTGTTATTATTATATGAATATTTGTGGAATTATTAGTGTTGTTGATCATATATTCTATTTGGATAAAATTTTGTTTTCCTATTTTTTTTAACAGGCTATGCCAGACTTTTATTTTTTGTAAATAAGCCAGGCCACATGCTAATAATTATATTCATAACAGGTTACAGGCTAAACCAGTCTGACATATTTAAATACAGTCTTAACCATTCAAGATCAAAGCTCGGCCCGTTAATATGTTGGAAATTTAGAGAAAAATGAAGAAAAACAGATGAAGAAACTTTGTATTAAAATTGCTAAGAAAAAAATTACAAGAATGGTCACTGTCTTTTTTTCCTTTCTAGTGCTACGACATTTTGCTTTTCTTTCTTTCCTTTTTTCACTAATTCAACTGATACACACCTAAACATATAGCTATATATATATGCTGCCAAATCGACTTGCGTTGTCTTCCACCACCGACTTGGGTTGTCTTCAACTCCTCCTTTTTTATTATTAAATTTGTCGGCAACCAAACAATTGGTTTGGCTATTTGCAACTCAATATTACTGGAAACATCAAGAATGGCAGTTTGTAGATACTTCTTGAATGGCGGTAGATTAATGACGAGTATTCTTCATTCTTCTAGTATAACGGTAGAATAAATATGAGTAGCAAAGATCAAATTTGATTTCTAACACTCCCCCTCACATTTGACTTTGCATACCAATCATATTCTTACGTTTATGGAACGCGTCTGCTTTCAATGGCTTCGTACAACTATTTGCAAGTTGTTCTTCAGTTCTGCAGTAGACTAATTCCACAACTTTGTTTTTAACTTGCTCCCGAATAAAATGATATTTTGTGTCAATATGCTTGCTTCGACTGTGGGAGACTAAATTTTTTGCAAGTGATATAGCAGACTTGTTATCTACGTGTATAGTAATTGGACCTTCTTTCTCATAATGAAGTTCTTTCAAATGATTTTTTAACCAAATCGCTTGACACGTACACGCTGTTGCGGCTATGTATTCAGCTTCGCATGATGATAGAGCAACTGTCTATTGTTTCTTTGATGACCATGAAAATATTGTTGAGCCAATATGAAAAGCATATCCTGAAGTGATTTTTTGATCATCTACATCTCCACTACAATCACTATCTGCATAGCCAATTAACCTTAAATCTTGGGAATGCGTATAGAATAATCCATGACTGATGGTTCCTTAGATATATCTTAAAATTCTCTTTGCTGCACTGAAATGATCCTGCTTTGGATGCTCCATATATCTGCTAATTAGACCAACTACAAACATGATATATGGTCGAGTGAAAGTCAAATATCTCAAGCTTCCGACCAGGCTTTTGAATAGTGTTGGGTTTGCTGGTTCTCTATCTGAGTCAGCTTTCAACTTCGTTCCTGCTTCTATTGGTGTTGAAATATGCTTACAATCTTTCATTCTGAACTTACACAGTATTTCTTCTGCATACTTCTTTTGTAACATATAAATTCCTTCTTTTGGTTATCAAGTTCAAAACCGATTTTTTAACAAATTCAAAATCGATTTTTGATGGATTGTGCTATTTTTATATGTAGTCGTTTGTTTCTCCCAGTTATAGGTAGTTGACCAACTATTTCTTGCAAGAATCTTCATTGTTTTGGAACTCTAAGGACGAAATGATTCTTATAGAAATTGTTTCACGTTATTTTTATGGAAAACATTTCCATCAAAAAAAAATTTGTCGAATTTTTTTACGGAATATAATTTTAGTCAAAATATTTCCCTTAAAATATCTCACAAAAAAACATATTCATCAAAAAATTTGACGAAAAATATTTCTATCAAAATTTTCCACGAAACACATTTCCTTCGAAAACTTTTGACGGAAAATAATTTCATCAAAATTCTTTATAGAATTCAAATTCCGTCAAAAAATGTCGACGTAAACATTTTCGTTAAACTTTTTGACAAACAACCGTCAAAATTTTTAACGAAACACATTTCCATCGAAAATTTTCGACGAAAAATATTTCCGTCAAGTTTTTTGATAAAAAACATTTCCATCAAAAATTTTCAACGAAACACATTTCTATGAAAAATTTTCGTTGACGAACAATATTTCGATAAAAATTTTGACAAAAATGTTTTTCGTCAAAATGCTTTATAAAAATATTTTTCGTCAAAAAATTTGAGGGAAATGATTGGAGGGAATTTAGATTCTGTAAAGAACTTTGACAAAAAAAAAATTCGTCATAATTTTTTATAGAAATATTTTTCGTCAAAAAAATTTTCTGAAATATTTTTGGTCAAAGTTTTCGCTGTAAATGTGTTTTGTTGAAAATTTTGCTGAAAATATTTTTCGTCAAAATTTTTTACGTAAATATTTTTGGTCATAATTATCGCTGTAAATGCTTTTTGTTGAAAATTTTGCTGGAAATATTTTTCGTCGAAAATTTGGACGGAAATATTTTTTGTAAAAAAATTTGACGAAATTATTTTCTGTCAATTTTTTTTATGGAAATGTGTTTCGTCAAAAAAATTTACAGAATTATTTTTCGTTGAAAAGTTTCACATAATTGTTTTTGTTGAAAGTTTCGACGGAATTTAGATTCTATCAAGAATTTTGACTGAATATTTTGTCCCTAAAAAATTTATGTCAGTGATTATGACAAAATCTTATTCCGTCTCTAGTTTCAATGAAATTAAATTTCGTCTCTATTTTTACGTAATATGATTTTTGTCAAATTTTCGACGAAATATTTTTCTTTGATAAATTCTGTTAGTATTTGTGATTTTTCTAATAATGTCACATTTAAAAATAATTTATATTTATGTAATTTTCACATCTTAATGCTAAAGATAAAAGATAATACTTATTTGTTCTTTAATTGTAAAATAGTTTGGTTATGGATAACTATGGATAACCAATTATTTTTATGGTTTGATAAATAACCAGTTTATAAAATAAAATGCAGTTTCATATGAAACCGGTTTTTAAAAATAACCAGTTTTTAAATGTGGAGCGGTTTAGTTATGGATCGGTTTGGTTCTTTTGGACATTTTGCACATCCCTATATATATGTATGCATTTTTTTTCTTATTTATTATTTATATGGTTTAGGTTGCTATTTAACTTTTTCTTATTTTTTTTCTTAAAATGTTATGAGTTAATTGACTGACCTAATTAATGTGGTATATGTTGTTTCCTTTTTTTCAGCCCCAGGATGATGTTGGGTTGGGCCTTTTGCTGGCCTGTAGTTTTCTATTTAAGTCACTTTTTGCTATTGAAAAATTGAGTGTTCGATCTCCATTGACCATTGATTTGCATAGTTGTTCCATAACCATTACGATTGGTAAAACAACTATCCAAGACAAATTATTTATTCACATTCATTTGCTTTCCCATAGCAAATCCCTGTTAACTAAATGATGCCACTACAACAATAACACTTTTTTTTTTCAAGTTGGATCTCCTCCAAGAAAATAAAAATGTAGATGATTGTGGAACTTCTCTCCAAGGAATTGTTAACTACATCAATAGAAGAAAAGAAGTTTCTATGTCCCCAGATGATGCCTAAGCTGATTGATATCAATATTGTTATGGACTAGTGAGTAGGTGGTGAGCTCCTCTCACCATGCTGTGGACTTTTGTAGATCGAAACTGTCTTTCTGAACCAAACTCAAACTCAAAACCAAATTCAATTCTTGTTGCATTAAAAATGTTTATTCCATTTTGTTGGAAGTAACCAAATGGATTACTCTGGTTCAACAGGATTTTGTGAAATGGCCATTGTTGATAGTGATGGCCGCAGGAGAAGGTATAAACCAGGCCCCAAGAATGGTATCAATGACAAGGGAAGAAGCCAAGAACCTTTGTCAAACCTGCATAGTGGACTAACATTAAAATATATGCTAGATATCGTCTCTTATATAACTAGGACTAGCATCTTTTTATGCAAAGCACAAAGCTCCCCAACTTATGAGGATAAGAGTGAGTGTCGATTGTACACAACTTTACTCCTGCATTTTTGCAAAGAGATTGTTTCCCATATTCAAATCCGTGACATTTCGATTACAAGAAGCAACCTTACTGCTGCTTCAGGACTTGCCCTCTAGGCAAATGTAAAAAATTGAAATAAAAACTTTTTGCTAGAAACATACCATTTTCGAGCAGTCATATCATTGTAAACCCAAAATGGTGCAAATGTAGAAAGTATAGTAAAATCAATGGACGTAATATGGATCTGCAACATGAAAGCCCGATTAGCACACCTAAAGAGCATTATTTTTTGAAGAATGGATAAGCATAAGAGAAACATGTAAATGAAGCAGAAGTAATGAAAAAGAGTGTATAAGAAGCTGTATTCTAATTTAGCCATAAATTTGGCCTAGTGTTACTAGGTTCTAGTACACTAGCAATCATTGATTGGAACTCCTTGGTTTAAATTATCAAACATCAGTACAGCAAGACTTGAAAAGTCTATGGCTTTGCTAAAGCTTGTGTAATGAATACAATGGCAAGTGATACCAAATATATGAAATGAAGAGTAAGAACTTACAAATTTACTTTCCCTGAAGTACTGGTAAAATTCTTTCCACTCACCTTCTCCAGCTATACCTGCATAAGTTATGAGGGCTATCCCTACAGCGAGCAATATCTGATGTGTAGTTGAGGTAAGTTACATACTCTCAAAAAAATAAAAAATAAAAATGAAGAGTCTAGTGTGATTATGCTAAATAATGTATAAATTCCTTCAATTGAAAGTAACTTGTGAGCAGTATAACTGGTTTCTTCCAATGAGATTTTTAGTACATAATAATAAGGGCATGCTGTAGGGTTCATCCGTTCATACATGCTTAAGGAAGTCTCTTGAATTTAGGGGCTTTTAAAATTAATCCAAACCATCTTTGTTGTTTCAGTTTCACTGTGCAATTGATTTGTTGCATTCCCTACTTTGGATACTGCTTTATAAGATCAGGTAAGTTAAAAAATTAAAATAATGGGAAGAGGAAACAAAAAACAGCAAAAACAGATTGATTCCATCTAATACTAGGGCTAAATAATCTTTTATATGAAAACCTTCCTAGTTTTTGTAGTTTGCTTTTACTAGGTGATATACTATGTAATATAGTCCTATTAATTTCTTTCGTGTGTGATTTGTAGGTAATGTTCTTGTTTAGGATATACAATTATGTTGTTATTGTACAAAAAATGATAAATGCAACCCTTGTCATGGAATTTGTTAATCACTCTTTTACATAGATATATACTGTATTAAGAGAAAGCATTATTTAATTGTCATTGCAGAGTCTAAAGACTTAAAAAAAGAGCAACGCCCAAATTGGGATGCTTTGCTGCAGAAATTGAACTAAAGTTGAGCAAATTCAATTTACCAGAAAGGATAAAATGCATGCTGGTTTAAAAATATTTTCAAGTTTTTTTTCTAAAAAATAAACATGTGACTGCAATAGGGTGGTTTGTCTTTGGTATTAACCTGAGCAAAATCACCTAACCATGGACACTACTGGTATTTAGGTTACAATGATCAGTCTGCAACAACTTACTAGATGAGGTTGTGATGACTGATGAGCACTTACCATTGCAGTTACTTTTGATTCCAGAAAATTCAAAGGCCACATTTTAAGCTGAGTTTTTTCAACAGGAGGTGCTGGTGGTTTCCAAAGTACAAAATAAGGAAGAAGTACATATGCACCACCAAAAAATGAAAGTACCAGGAAGGGCCATACCGGAATATTGCTTTTTGAGCTGTAGAACAACAAAATGAAGAGATGAAATCAGCTTCAGGCATTGTTAAATAAGACAAATACGGATACAAACACAATGATTTATGGCATTCAAAGCAGTAACAAAGTTAGCATAGCAGTAATGTGGAATTAACATAGAAGGGATAGGGAGTGGCGTTTTTTTATGATAGGGGGCGAAAATAAAATATCAAAGTTAAAAATATTATTATGACTAATAAAAGGGGCTAACTATTACAAGTATTTTTGAGGGAGGGGCTAACTATTAAGACTAATAGTTCATTATTATTACAAAAATAATATTTTATACCTATAATAATAAGAAAATCAAAGTTTAGAGAGGCGACTGCCAACCCATGTTCCTCTCTTAGGTCCACCTATGTAATGTCATTCAAATTTCTGTCCTGTCAAATAAGTCATTTTGACTGATTTTCACAAAGCACAAAGGAGGCGAGTGTTAGTTAAGAAAAAGTGAAGGTATTAGTTAAAACTTACGAAGCATAGAGGTTAAAACTGTATTTATCCTGATAGAAAACTCTATTGAATTAACCACAAAGGGTGGAATACTGGATTGTTACATCACGGATTTCCAAATCCATAAGTATGATTTGGTATTTATCATGATTTTATAATTTTCACAAAAGCAAGTAGTCTTAGATGCATGGCAAAGAAGTTAGATATGAAACCATTCATCAACCTCCACTCATGATAGTTTTGTATATAGTTGAGAAACCACATTAATTTGTACAAGAGAGAAATATATATATTCACAGGAAAGTACCTCCTTCCTGTAGGAATTAGCAGCATGCTATATGCCAACGGCCACAAGCCCATTAAGTACCACAATGATACAAGCACTTCATTCATTCTGAAACCATCATCTCCCTTCAGATTAAGGAGCTTTCTCAAGAAATACATGTCCCTTGACTGAATGAAAAAAGCAACAACCTCACAGATTAAAACAAAATAAAAGGAAAAAATAAAGAGGGGTGGGGCTGGGGGATAGAAACTGTAAAGGAAACTTTGATGTTCTCATAAGAGGGCCAAAGAGTATAGTGAATCCATGAAGATGTATAATTTTTTTATTCTTTTTGCTGCAGTATTAACTACTCAATAATGATAACTATCATACTTTTGAAGAACAGATACCACCATTTACATTTTCTACTCTATCAAATGAAACAGATGCTTCAAACCATGGTTTAAATTGCAGTTAAAGTTGCTGACTGCAATTTAAAACCATGCTTCAAACCAAAGTGATAATAATAAACAATAAATATAACCATATTTAAGATTCTAATGTTCCTTTGATAATGCAAAGAATAAAAAAAAAACACTCCTCGTTAAATCCCAACTAGCGAGTGATAGTGGTGAGCATAATTTGAAAATTTGTAAAGAGACTGTTTTTCATATTCGAACGCATGACTCACAAAGGAACAACTTAATCACCATAATGCAAACAAAAGTAACTTGAAAATTAGAAATAACTAACTAGTAATGTGGACATACAGACATATTGATTTCATATCATTTGCATCAGTCATTTTTATCATTTAGCAACCATAGGCATTCAAGACATATTGCAGCTTAAAAGAAACATATAGTAACTGTTTAACCAACATACAGGGGTCTGGTTTGGAGCAAGCAAGAAAACATAGTACAAGAGTGCAGCCCAAAAGAAAAAGAGCAAAATTGAGGTTGTCCAATCTCTCTCCTTCACAACCCCACCACCATTTCCATTTCCATTCTCACCAAATTCACTTTCTTTCTTCAAATTCTGACAAATATGGAGACGACCCATCTTCCCAAATGCAATAAATGGGGTTTTGGTTTTGAAAACAAGAGGTTTAAAGCAACTAAAATGTCCTGATGCTATTGCTATTCTGTTTGGTGAAACTCTCAGTTCAGCTTTGTGGGGTTGAAGTGAAGTTCTCAACTTTTGGTTCCCGAGAATGGAAAAGTTGCAAGAGACCAAATTGGTTGTAGCCAGCACCATTGTTCAAGGGTAGATATAGATTCTCTCTCTCTCTCTCTCTCTCTCTCTCTTCTCTCTGAGGATTGCAAAATGGGTCGGTCTCATTGTTTAAACCGCTATTTTTAACGGGTTACGGTACATAAATTATAACTAGTTGGGGTGAAACGTAAAGATTGCGAGTTGCATCCGTGATTATTATTGGAATATTGTTTGTTTTGTATTTGAAGTTCTAATTCTGATACCTTGTTATTTGAATCCGTTTGTCCTGAGATCGTGAAAGAGAATCTAGAAGACTACTTTTTTTATTTTATTTTTTATACATATTTCAATCGGATAATGACTTATCCTATTATTTATTTTAAATAAAATTATTATTATAATAATTTTGAATAATACAATAATATTATTTTAGTTATTTTTTTAATTGTTGAATGTTTGATAGGCTTATACAAGCTAACAAGCCTAGGTCAAAACTTTTATTTTTTAAATATAGGTCACGCTAGACTTATAATTTGAGGCCTACAGAGGTCAGACCGAACCCAATATTTTTTACACAGACATGGCCTATTTAAGCCAAAGTCTAGCCTAGCTTAGCCTATTTACACCCCTGCTGAGGAGGATCGAACACATGCTCTCAACTTACCTGGTCAGTTCCTAACGCCAATCGAGTTACCATCATTTGATTAATCTAGAAGACTATGGGTGTAGTGATAATGAGGGATAACGACCAAATTGCCACTCTTCTCACAAAATATTACCTGAATGCCACGGTTCCAAAAAAAATTCCCAAAATGCCACGTCATCTAACTCGCTATAACATGTGGCGAGTTAGGTGTGCAGACTTGGCAGCAGGTTCATGGCCACGTAAGCTGTTGCGCAGTGCAGCGAGATTACGTGGCAGACAACTTCTGCCACAGTTTCCATGTGGCCTAAAATGCTATGCAGTGTGGTGTCTGGTTACTTTTCATGAATTCCGCCACAATTGTTCAACATTGCTACACAAATATAATATTCAATTACTTTTCTTGAATTCCGATTACTAACCTGCCACTGGCGGTGGATGCCTTCCAACAATGTCCAGTGAAGGAATTGGATAACATATGGCGATGGACGGACATGAATCGAAATCTCCCTCCACATCGGTGTCTGATGAGTCGCTTTCAGGAATAACCCCTTCATCCGTCCGGTCGTCTGAGCTGTCTGTACAGCACGTCGGAGCATACTCATCTTGGGTAGGATGTAATTCAAGTGACATTGGTACTAGTGGTGGGGGTGACATATCTTCAGGATTCACCAACGGCTCTCTATTCATGTCGGTCAACTGAATGGAAAGGTCATAACATTGACTGCTGGACTGTCCACCAGAGTCTATTTCCGCATACAACTCAATAAATATTGAGTCTGGATGTAGTCGAAATACATCTACTACTAAGGCGATATCTTATCCTCAACAATCTCCACCGGAAGTCCGGAACCCAACTTTCTTTACCCAAATGCATCGAGTAGTTAAGCGAGACAGAGATTGACCATATTGTAATCTCAATTTCTTGTATATTGCCTTCTTTAGTTCATTAAAGCTACATCGCGGGCTCATGCGCAATACTTTTGCATCTCCTTCAAAAACTTTCCCATTAGAACCAAAATATTTCCTCCTATTGTAATAGGCTAATGCAATTAATGAATCATTATTATCACTCATTTTAAAAAAAATTAGGAGAAAAAAATAACACAACAGAAATTAACTGAAGAGAATGAATCCACACTGATGTTAAAAAAAACATAAATTAACTTAAGAGAACGAACCCACACTGATGATGCATAAAACGGGAGCGGAAGAGGGGTATATAATAAGCTAAAAATGCTAGACTGTTGGGCTTATGTAACACTCCGTAGTATTCCGATTGTTAACATACATGATATTTAGCATACACAGCGGAAGACTTTATCTTAAAAGAATAATAACGTGTCTTATAAAAATACGAGTAAACTTTTTCAGAAATATTTTGTAAAACATTTTTAAAGCGTTCATCTGATGTATTGCATTTGCGTAACATTAACCTCTAAGTCTACTGATTAAAACCATTTGGCCATCACTAGTGGCCGTTGACCATCCAGATATGACATCAAATGTCATTCCTGACAGAGTCTCACGGGCAGCATAATGGTTGTATTTCGGATAACTGGGATCATGGTCCCACACATACACAACCTGATAGATACAATAATTAAACATACAGCTCGCAAGTTTCACACGGACTGCGATCCCCTATCAGGGTCAATACAAACAATCAGGCTCCATGCCCAAATAACTAAATGCATACATCAAGTCTATATAAATTTCAAAACGTCAAAGCATCAGTAAATAATTCATGGCTCCAATACTACAGTCATGAGCCTAAATAAGTACATCACATAGTCTCAACATAAGATAATAGGACATGTTAATAAATATACAAGCCATCATAGAGTCTAAACATAATAAAGATAAATCAACAGTGTCATCCACTACTCCAGGCGGGGGCCTTGCCCTTAGAAGCATCACCGCTACTCTGGGTACCTGAAATGATGTCCCCAAACGGGGTGAGATAACACATCTCAGTAAGCTCAAGGTTCATAGAGGATCCTCTAATCCCCTGAGCCCACTTCCTGCATGACAAGTCAGATATAAAGCATATAATACAGGCATACAACATAAACATAGCATCATCATATCATCCTTGTGTAACCCCAGGGTCAAAGCCATAGACAGTTACACATGTGTGACTCCAGGGTCAAGCCATAGACAGTCAACACAACCTCTGTATGAAATAGCTCCCATAGTCAAGTCACAAGCAGCCTACCTACCATAATCACTGGCCAGGATTCTCATAACATATATCATCAGTGCATCATCATAACGTCAAGAATCATATAACATTATATGAATGTGAATGAATGCACATATACATTACACCACATACTTTCATACAATACAACCATAATGCCCACCATCATGGGGGGCCACAAGAGAGGAACAACCAGAACTAGGAGTTTACCTCACTGAGCCTATCACAAGCCCAACTCCAACAGAAAAACATGTATGCTCTGATAAACCCTCAAGTTCCAAATCCTCTAGGAAAATCTAGGGCAGGAATCATTTACATCATTAATACTCAATCACTTAATGATTCCACATTTCATTCTTACATGCCAATAATATGCCCATTACAAGTCTAGACCAATTATTGCATAATTATGTATTTTAGTGCATTATTATAAGCAACCTCAATCCTCAATCACTTACATAACTTGGAATCACATTCTAGGCTCACTTAGGTAACTTAGATTATTTTTACACATCCAAGCCCTAACTATGTGACAAGGCCGAATTGTATGTATAGATATAGCCTAGGTTGGATTTCCAATTTTAAGCTTAATTCAAGACTAGTTCCTTAACTAATCACTTCACTAATTAATCTTGGACTTAATTTATGAACCCACACAATTTTCATCACTTACTTTCCCTATGGAAAGTACTAAAACCGAGGCATTAGTATGGTTCCATGGTGTTCAATTTAAAGTCTAACTCACTCTTGGTTCCATGGATGTTTAGTTCAATCCTTAATTCTTTCTAAGTTAAGCTCCATTTTTTCATATTCCATAATTATGCTAAGTATACCTCGTCTAGGTAATTTTAATTATTAACTTAGGTATATTAACATGCTCAAGAGTTAGAGCTCATGAACACAAGAGAGAAAGATGATATTTTTCAAGAAAAGTTTAAGAAACTTACACAAAAAATCAAGAGAGCTATGCACACAAGTGTCGTTCTTCAAGAGAACTCAAGAACACAACTCCATGGCCTTGAAACTTCACAAAACCGTGGCTGTACAAGAGGGAAATGACCACAAAAATTTGATTCACACCATGGAAATGGTATGGTTGTGAAGAGGAGAGTGAGGGGAACGATCTTTGTGAAGGAGGTTTAGTGATTTGGAGAGATTTTGTAGGAGAAATCCTAGAGAGAAGTGAGAGAAAATTTTGGAATTTGAATTTAAGAGAGAGGGAGGAGGAGGGAGGCGCTGCCCTAATTAGGGTTGTCATGTCGCTTTAGTGGCACTTTGTCCTTTAGTGAGACCCGATGTAATTTTTATCTGAACCATTGTCAAATTTTTACCCGAAACCCCCAAGACTCTAACTTTAAGTACTTAACATTAATTTTGTCTAATTATCATGTTCATAATTTAAAATTTTGATTAGTAGATCACAGATCCACAAACAGTCGTTTAATTACACTTTAGTCTTTACCGGTGTTCTTAACTATATCTGGATTTCATAATCTTCTTAAATTTAACATTATTGGTCTACTTATAACTTGTTAGGCATATATTTGTCTTTATTTCTATTTTCTCATCTTTTTCCCGTTCCGGGATTCTACCGGCTGCTTCTACAGCAGTACAAAATACCCGGCAGAAGTGACTTTTCTAAAATATCCCATTATGGGTATCAAACTTCATCAAATCATATACTAACCTCATTTTTGATGTTTTCATCATTATATTAGCTTTCTAACAATAATTTTCTAGCTTGGAGCTATTCTACTGACTATTACTCCGTCAGCAGTTAAAAATAACAGATGAAAATTCACCTATCTAAAATACCCTCAAGATGGATATCAAAATTCTTAGAATTTCATCCTCATTCTATTTATGACCATAAGGCCCTCATCATAACCCTCTAGTTTAAAATTCATATAATTAGGGTTATTATACTTGTTAAGATCCACGTGTAAAAAAAGGTGACACATAAAACGCTATGCTGCTTAGCGAGTTGTACACGTGTCAAAAAAGTGACACGTAACATGCTATGCTGTATAGCGAGCACGTGTCAAAAAAGTGACACATAACATGCTATGCTGCTTAGCGAGTTATACACGTGTCAGAAAAAAGTTGACACCTAAGACGCGACGCTGCGTAGCGTTTTAGGCCACGTGGCAAAAGCTGTCTGCCACGTAATCTTGCTGCACTGTGCAGTGCTTACGTGGTCATGGACCTGTTGCCACATGTGCATACCTAACTCGCCACGTGTTGCAGCGAGTTAGGTGACGT